TATTGGGAAGTCTTCTGGCATGATTTCCTAGCCATTTTCAAAGAATTCTTTTCCAGGGGAGTTATCCATCGGGCCTTGAACGCCACCTTTATAACCCTTATTCCCAAGGTTGAAGGAGCAACCCACCTCAAAGACTTCCGCCCTATTAGTCTGGTCAATTCTACTTATAAAGTCTTAGCCAAGGTTTTAGCCTCCCGACTGAAAGAAGTCCTATCCCTGGTAATCTCTCCCCCTCAAAGTACATTCACTAAAGATCGTCAAATCCTTGACGGTGCTTTGGTGGCTCATTAATGCATTCACTCTAAACACCTAACTAGGGAACCCGGTATTTTCGTGAAGCTTGACTGGGAAAAAGCTTACGATCACGTGGATTGGGACATCCTTGAGGAAACCCAATCTAGAATGGGATTCAGTTTGAGATGGAGATCCTGGATGAAGGCTTGCTACTCTCATCCACACTTCTCCATTCTCATCAATGGTTCCCCTAAGGGATTCTCTCCATCAACCAGGGGCCTTCGTCAAGGAGACCCCTTATCCCCGTTTCTCTTTGCAATTTCAACCGCAGTTTTCAGTCAATCTATCTCTAGAATGTATTCGGCTACTCTCTTACATGGGTTCAAAGTTGGTCACCAAGGGTCGACAGTCTCGCATCTTGAATATGCGGACGACACCCTGGTTCTTTGCAATGTCAATTCAGAAGATGTGGGAAATCTATTCTTGTTTCTTAGATGTTTCGAGTTTGTGACGGGATTCAAGGTTAAGTTCCACAAAACCAAAATGATGGGGATTAATGTTGACCAGACCTCCTTAATATGTTTCGCAGACAGTTGGGGATGTGGGACAGATACTTTTCCGTCCAAATACCTTGGCCTACCTCTCTACTTGGGAAAGCCTAAAAAGTGACTCTGGTCTCACATAATCGACAAGGTAGACCGTAGGTTAGCCGGGCGGAAAGGTCGCTTACTCTCTCCGGGAGGCAGATTGACCCTCATCAAAGCCACCCTTGCTAATATACCAGTTTACCAAATGTCCTTGTTCCACATGCCGATTGCCGTCAACACAAGATTAGAACAGTTGATGAGAAGGTTTTTTTGGTCTAGGGATGCATCCTCCAACGAATTCCATCTTATAGCCTGGGATAAACTTTGCCTGTCCAAAAAATTGGTGAGATCAGGGATAAAAAATCTTAGGAAGCAAAATGAGGCACTCCTAGGCAAATGGAGCTGGCGTCTAGCCACTCAAAGGGACCAACTGTGGAACACCAACCTTCATCACAAATATCGAATATCCATTTGTGCAGCTCACCATCACTTCCAGTCTTGCATAAGGTTACATCTCAGACAGGAGAATCACATCCTCTTCTGGCATGACCTTTGGCTTGGACATACTCCCCTCAAGGACAGATTCCCAAACCTGTATTCTTTGTCTCGTACACAACAAGCTATTGTTGAAGATGAGATGGTCCTAGCGGGGCCTGTGAGATCTTGGAATCACGTGTTCCAAAGAGCTTGTAATAACTTGGAAGTTTCCCAATTCGCAGAACTAGCGGTTGAACTTCAGGCCATCTATCTTGTAAACAGTGGCCCAAAAAGGATCACTCGGTCCCCCTCAGCTTCCAGGAGCTTCTCGGTATCCTCATTCTATCGTAGTCTTCCACAAGTTTCTACTACTTCTGCAGCACCTTCCACTTCTGTTTCTCAGGCTTGGGTCTCCATAGACCCCCCCCCCCCCAAAATCTAAATTTTTATGTGGCTAGCACTCTCTTTGGAGAATGATAACAGTTGATCAAATACTGTGTAGGGGCATCCCACTCCCTAATCGATGTGTCTTGTGTATGGCAGCTGAAGAAACAAACGACCACCTCCTACTACACTATCCGTTTGCTCATAATCTCTAGGGGGGTATTCTCAAACTTTTCGACATTCAATGGGTCACACCCGAGCATGTCCCGTCCATTCTATCATCTGTCAGGCCCTTAAGTTGGCCTAAACTTGGGATTCTCCTTTGGAAATCCATGGTGGAGGCTACCATTTGGGCTCTATGGATCAAGAGAAACAATAGAGTGTTTAGGGGTGAATACTCCACATGGAACAAATTTTTCACTAAGCCAAAATCCACAGTTGTCTTTTAGGCAACAAACCACCACAATTTCAAAGGAGTCACCACCACGACTTAATTTCAGGATTGGCCCGCTGTCCTAAAACACTATCGTAAACGACCAGCCCGTGCTTCCTGTTGGATCCCCCCACCGTCAGACCTTTTCAACTGAACTTCAAAGGATGCTCCCTCGGGAATCCAAGTCCTTTGGGAGTGGGGGCCATAGTAAGAGACTATTTAGGCAACACGTCTTCCTGTTACATCAGCCACACCAACTCGGTGGCAGCCGAAGCCCACGCCCTCTTGGAAGGACTAAAGCTACTTCAAACTCTCAGCCCACACTCAATTGTGATAGAGGGCAACTCCCAGAACACTATTCTGTGGGCCCAAAGAACTCTTCACCTCCAACCTGGACCTTAGCGCACATCTTTGATCACATTCATTAGCTGTGCAAGGATATGGACGTCTCAGGGAAGCATCCTGGAGGGAGAGTAACCAGGAAGCAGACGCCCTAGCTAAAGAAACGGCTTTACGAGAGGAATTTTAGCAATCTTCATGTTTCCCTAGTTGGGAATTTTGGACCACTCTCTTTTAGTAGTTGCTGTTTGCACACTGTAACCTTCTTCTAGAAGGATTTTGGTTCTCCTTCCCTAGAGCACCCAATTCTGTGGTCTGCCTAGGTTTTTGTACTACTTTCACTCAATTAAGGTTAACATTCTCAAAAAAAGAAATCTGCCAACACTACTGCAGACACTAATTCAGCCAAGCAATCTGCTCAGTACGCTTAGAACCTCCAAGGTACAAGGAGAAATAAGTATTAGATTTATTTAAAAAAATCACCTAATAAAAATAATAAATGTATCTAGACTGTGTTCTAACATAAAAAGCAAAACTTGGGTTCTGAAATCATGAAACAGTAAAAAGTCATCAACTAGAAATGTATAGGCAACGACCACCAAAATGAAAACAACAAAAAATTGACAGGACGATCACTTGTTCCTCCGAAACTCTCTAAATGTAAGGGCATTCCCATCTCTACATCTCAATGCATGTGTGAAAATAAGACGTAGAAGGGGTTAGTAGCTGAATGAAACATCCTTTTGTTCTACCACTCAGCTGCCACATGCCTTCCAGAAACGATAAGAGCTCTAATGGCATAAAATCGTGAATCAAGGTTCCAAGACAATAACCCCACATGGAGGGCATGCAAAAAGTGGACCTCGAAAGAAATCAGAAGTAATTTCTTCAAGTCATCCAAAGTAATTTTCAAACTTTACTCTTATAAGGAACATTTTTTAGTTTCTTGGAACTTCAAAACATGTCAAAGATGCAGTAATAGAAAGTTTTGGCAAGAAAATCCCATGCCAAAACACTTATTGTCCATGCCCTTGTTCTTATCAACAAATATATTAATCTACAATGTATTTCTTAAGGATAAGTGGTTAAACTCATAATTTCTCAAAACAAAAGGATGTGATATTGCCTAGCACCAAAACAAGATGCTTTAGGACTAGGAAAATTTTGAGACATTTTCCAAATAAGAAGAGGAGAGACAAGGCCTTACCAGAGCAGACCAAACATTGACTAAAAAAGTTCACTAGTGGATGGGTATAAAAATTGTATTACTCATAATTAACTGGTCTGTTCAAGCTGGGCCTTAACGGTCATTGGCATTTGAATGTTGGCCCCTCAGGAAAGAACATATCAACCTAGAGAATACCCTACAAGTGACCAACAATTCAAATATGTGATGCGTGTGTAGAGGAGCAATTCTTCACTTTTGGCTTTCGAAGTTTGAACAGTCACACTGCATGGTTCCACTCAACAAAAGGTGGCAGTATACATCACTTTCAGGCCTCCAATCTTATTTCATTCACATATAAGTACTCGAGAGCCATTCCCAGCGCCTTAAATCCATGGAGAGACTGCTATTCTCAAGTAGGTCTAAGATTTTCCAGTACTATTGGCACAAGACACTTAAAGAAATCATCTCGAAATCCCCCACCCAAAACACTCCAAATATTTACAGTTAAGGATGTTTATATTTCAAAATTTGCATAATAAACTTATTTCATTCTCTCATTTCTATCTGGCACTTTAGACTCCTTGTTCATTCGCCTTTTTCAATAGCATACCCACAATAAGGCATCAAACAAGCTAGACCAAACAAGAAAAAATGCTTGTAATTTGGAATTCTTTAAAGAGCATAACCTAATCACCTTAAAACACACAGATTAATGCATTGACAAAATCTTGAAGTAAGATGATTAACTGATTGACAGCGGATACTCAATACAAATTATGTTCTTTGCTTCAACAATAACTAGTGTCACAAACCCTAGGAAGAGTCGAATTAGGATTTCTGATTCTAACATTGATTGTATGGCTTGTATTCCTATTAAGTATTTAACACACACATAATTTAATGGGGTTCTTTATTATAATGAAAAAAAGTCAAACAAAATGTAGAAACAAGTGAAAAGTGAAAACAAATAACATGGGTTCGATATATCTCAGCATTTTACAATTTAAACATACTTTTCCAAAACTAATACCTATTGATGCAATATAGTAATCCCCCCACAATTCAAATCAATACATAATCCTTAATCAGCCAATATCTCAAGTTCATTAAGTGATTCTATCTGTCCTTGTAATTAAATGAGTACTAACTAAAATTGGAGAACAAACATGATAATGTGTGTGTGTGTGTGACAGAGAGAGAGAGAGAGAGAGAGAGAGAGAAAGTCGTGAGGATTCCTCATATTGATAAGGAAATACGAGCAGAGAAGCCAAGAGTACACTGGAAATGTAACTTAAAATCTGTACAAATAATCTTGAAACAACAATGAATAGTTGAAAGATGATGCTTCCAAATAGAGGAGAAATGGGGCATAAAATACCTGAGAGAGGCAGCAGTTTTAAAGATTATTCCTCCCAAAATGCTCCTCATTCTCTCACTTGTGTGACCAATCAATCTCTGCAAAATGCAGAAGCACCCCCATCTCAATACATATAACGTTCTCATGATTATAGCAATAAAATAGTCATGAGGGATGTCACGTCCAATCAATGCTCGGATAGTGATGGATGGGTAGAAAGTGGCAACCCTAGAACACAATAGTGCTCGATGCTGCTGTCTCCATCACCGTTCATTTGACAAAAATGATATTTATGGATGGATGAGTTTTGGTAAAGAGTGGTTTGTATAAGGCATCAATAAAACAATCAATGCTGCACCTCCATACCTTGTCAAAAGATGTACTTTCCACCTTGAAAAGCCCTATCATGGCTTGAAAATCTTAATTAGGATTTTTAAAGTTCTAAAAATGATATAGATCCAGTAGATTTATATACACTTGAAAATTTTGAAAAGTGAAGGCTTAGATAATACGTAATAAGATGCACTATTTTCATGACTTGAAATCTTTTTTTTTCATTTAATATTAATACTTCTTGTTAGCGAGATGATCAATTGGAGGATTTTCTAGAGTTCGAATAACTTCTTTTTGTGAGTTTTATAAACTTTTCTTTTTAGTAAATGAAATGTACTAATTGGTAATTTTGTACTTAAAGATCATTTCCGGATCTTTCATATTGGTACTGTCTATTGAGAAACTAAAATAATTTTCCTAAATTTTGTCATTTTTTATGAATTTAATGCATCACTCATTACTATTTTGATAAATTTCCTTTTAAACTTTTATCACCAGCTAACCCCATCATTGGGTAGGAATGAGGGAGGACAAGAATTTAAAATTCTAAAAGTTTCTCCAAAACGCCAAGACAAAATCAAGGCTTTTTTCTTTCTTTAATATTTTTTTATTTTTTTATTTGTTTTCGAATGAAGTTTATATAAGGTGCCCTCTTGTACTTTACAAGTAAGCAAACCTCTAAATTTTGGTTGAAGGCACAGTTTTGGTATTGAAAATTTGATGATGAGTTAAAAATATATTTTCATTCCTACTTATAAAATTTAAAATTTTGAAGTACACTTTATTTCAATAGCATAAAGTTGATACCATATATAAACTTTTTTTTACTTTCAAGTTATAAAAAAACAATCAAATTACTTTCGAGTCTTTAAAGTCTTGTAAGATGAATTAATCTACTTCCTCTACTTACACTTTAATTCTCTTTCTTTATTGTCCTCTCTCTCTCTCGATCTCAGCTTTTGCCCTATAACTTCTAAAAATAAAATTAACAAAAGTAAAAATAACTTTTTGTAGCAACTAGATCGTAATCTGCATCATTCTCCCATGGTTGGAGAAAACTCAGTCTCGAGTTTTAAAATGCGCTAAGATGAAATTTTCCTCGCATCCTTTTACAACTTGAACATTGTAAACAGATCTCGAACATTGTAACTACGATCCTGTTACCAGTAGGTTATTGCACTAATCAAAATACAATTGTGCACTGAAACTAATAAGCCCTTGAGGAAAGGGTCGTTGTATGTCGATTTTTCAGCCACAAACGTGTTGAAATTGCTAAAACTAAACCTTAGGGCACAACACGTATGTATTTGTTTCTTTGTTATGCATCTCCAAAGGCTTGATCTCCTCTAGTTTCAAGTCACCGTCTTGATTCTCCATCTCTCTATTGATGAGAAATTTAGATATCTTTGCTGCCTTAATGCCAACTTATTTCCTTTCATCGTGTTCTTCATAAAAAGCAAGATCTTCTTCAAATATGAGATCACTTTAATCTTGCTCTTTATCAAATATAGGACTTTCATCAAAGATGAGATCACTTTGGAATGCTAATTCCAATTGAATATCCAAACCTTGATTCTTCATCAAAGCTAACTAAATCACACTTCCGACCATAAGGAACAATATCACTCTCCCAACCATGAGGCTCCTGACACAGAGGATTGGCATGGAATAAGTTCTAGAAAATAGCGTCTGACTCACTACCGCATCACAGTGTGTTGGGGCTAGATTTTGCGCCAAGCGCAGGGTCAGCTCCTCTACTTACTTTCTCAAAATTTTGTTCTATATCTCTCGGAGAACTCAGAGGTTTCGTTCTCATCAGATGGGTTAAGTCCCGATACTCAACCATAGACCTTGTCCACAAGCTATGATGCTTATCGACAAACACAATAATCCACAAGAATCGATTATGCTCTAATACCACATGACACAATATAAAATTACCTACGAATAGCACACGGCAAAACAACCTCATTTTAGAGAGAAATAAAAACATAGAAAGAAATCGCAAGCGGAAAAAACAAACATGCAAATCCGAGTATTCCAGCACATGCTCAGAAATACAAGAGAGAGGAAAATACCTACAAAGGGTCTCTCTCTCTCTCTCTCTCTAAACGACCTCGAAGATCACTTTTTTCATTCTATAAAAATTAACTACCTTACAATATGAGGCATCTTACTACTTTTATCAATACGCCTTGCCAAATCTTTAAATGATAAGTTTCCTATTATCTTGCACATTAGTCCCAATTAAAAGATAAATCTTTTTTCCTAATGGACTTGCCATCTCACATCCCTAAAGAGAGGGAAACAAACTCCTCTAAAAGATAACTACTCTTTCTCATAGAAAAGATAACCTCAACTCATTTTATCCATCTAAACACTATTACTCTTCCTAAAAAGATTTACTCTTCAACATTACTATCACAAGAATTACAAGACCCTATGAACAACCTAATATTCTTGCATAATATATTGCTCTGCAATTAAAAAATAGAGGTTTATTTGGAGAAACAATGAAAAAAGCTATTGAATTAGTTGAACAAGCCTCTTTCAGATCTGAATCTATTTGATTCAAAAGGGAAGAACTTGCATCAGTATCTCAATTTCAATTTAAACATGTAAATGATTCACACTCAATTTTTTGAGAAATATTACCATCCGAAAAGAGGAAAAAACAGAGTCTTTATCTAAATGAATGCTTTGAGAAATGGCTAACTTTCCTAAAGACGCGTTCGATAACAGGAAGTTGGTTCCCAGAAGATGGAACTTACCTATTATTATTCATATATTGTGTTTGATAAAAAAAGGTAAGATTAAAAGAAGAAGTTCCCTTTACTGTTCACTTCCCACTTTAGTGATAAAAAAGGTTCCGTGGAAAACCACATAACTTGAAAAAAGGAACTTTTCTTTTAACTTCCTCCCCCGATAACTCTTCGCACCTTTTGCCCAAACTCCTCACCCCTCTCGTGATTGTTCGCACTTTTTACCCTAACTCCTCACACCTCTGGCCTTCATCCCTCTCGCCTGCAACAACCACTCGCCTTCACCCTTGCCTGCAATAGTAACGACAACAGCAACAGATCGCGTGCTTCTTATTTTCACAGGTAACTCTCCCCTCTCTCCTCTCTCTCTCCTCAAAAATCTCCATTTTCCCTCTCTTATCTCCTTTAACCTTATTCCTATTAACTCCTCTCTCTCTTCTTTAATCTTAATCTCTCTAAGTTATGTAATACCATTTGTTTCCCTCAACAACCAATTAACTCAGGTAAGCTCTAGTCTCTCTCTATCTCTCTCTCTCTCTCAATGACCCATTAACTCAGTTTTAATGTGATTTTAAAACTGTTACAATCACATTCAATTTACTACCTACTCGAAATTGATGTTCTGTAGTACCAAAAATATGGCATAATACAATCACATTCATAAAAAAATCCAAGAAAAAAAACACAACAAACAAATCATAGACAGAGTATAAGTAAAATATTTGAGCGATTACTTTAAGGAAATAAACAATAGGAAATATGTATTGCATATTTGAGAGAGAGAGAGAGACAGAGATGCTAGAGCTTACCTAAGTTAATGGGTAGTTGAGGGAAGCAAATGGTATTGCATAACTTAGAGAGATTAAGATTAAAGAAGAAGAGATGAGTTAATAGAAATAGGGTTAAAGGAGAGAAGAGAGGGAAATCAGAGATTTTTGGGGAAAGTGACAGAGAAGAGAGAGTTACCTGTGAAAATGAGAAGCACGCGATCGGCTGCGGGTGCTGTTGCAGGCAAGTAGTTGTTGCAGGCAAGAGGGATGAAGGCGAGCAACTGTTGCATGCGAGAGAGGTGAGGAGTTTGGGTAAAATATGCGAACACCCACAAGAGGGGTATGGAGTTAGGGTAAAAGGTGCGAAGAGTTATCGGTGGAGGAAGTTAAAACTTCCTTTTTTCAAGTTCCATGGTATTCCAAGTTCCATGGTTTTCTACGAAACTTTTTTTATCACTTAAGTGGGAAGATGAGCAGTAAAGAGAACTTCCTTTTTTAATCTTACCTTTTTTAATCAAACACAATATAAGGATAATAACAGGTAGGTTCTATCTTCTGGGAACTAACTTCCTATTATCAAATGTGCCCTTAAAGAAATTAACCAACAAATATTTAAAGATGATACAAGAGTCTTGATTTTCAAAGAAAACAAATGTAATATATTATATAACTCAAAAATTAAATTTTATGCTACTATGTAGCTTAATTTTGTGGATTAATTTTGCTTGAGGGTATCAAACTCAAGCTTTAAAGTGAGAATTGCTAAAGACACTAGTATCAAGAGTGATGGACCATCTCTTGGGCATGGGTGGTCGTTTCTATACAAGCCCAAGAACTTGCAAAATGTAAGGAGGTATACTAAGCCAAGAAAGGATATATTCCACTCCTTATTGCTTGTCATGCGTTGTAGAGAGAAGGGAAGAAAAAGTGCATAATACTAAGGCAAGCTAGTTTCGTAGCAACCAGGGTTTTAAAAAACGCCGAGTCGAACCGGACTCGCCCGGTTCGACTCGGAAATCGTGAAAAGGGATCGGATCGCCCAAAAAATCGGAAATCGTCCGGTTCTAGAGAGAACCGGAAGATTCTGTACAGTGAATCGCCGATTCACTGTACGGAATCGGCGAAGTCCGAACAGTGAATTGGCGATTCCGTACGGTTATTTTTTTTTTTTTTTTTTTTTTTTTTTTTTATACTAC